ATAAATAGTTTGTTTACTCCTTGAGCTTTGTTCCCTCCTGTGAGCTACAAAGCGTTTTAATCGCTGAGTGCAGGTACTTAAAATAATCAATGTTCTTCCTTTTGTGCACAGCTTTTACCCACAGATCCCCCAAAGAAGCCCGACCCCGTCAACTCAGAGACAGTGGTCTTCTGGGGGCTGAGGTTATGGCAGGTCATCGGCATCTTCTCTGTGTTCGGTTTAGCAGTCAGTGAGTATATGTAATGAAATCTCTTTGTTTTTCTCTAAACAAAACATCCTCTAAATAGACGGCTATCTTTAGAAATAACTGGAGGCCATAGATATTGAGGCATGTAGTGGTGTGACCATATTGTAATGATCACTGTGACAGTGTGACCAGTGGAACTGACAGAGATGTTATCATGAATGAGAGGTATCACTTCTATTTCCTAAGAAACAAAAAGGTCCTGTGCATAGCTGATATTGTTTAAGACATAATGCCAAAACTTATGCCAAGAGATGATGATTTTAGAACCAATTAATTGTGAAGAGTGTATTTTATGGAGGTATTAGGTAGACATAAAAACCTTAAAGCAATCCTCCCAGGAAAGGGGGCAGTAGAGGCATATCATTATATCAACACTTGTTGTGGCCAAATGGCCATATGAATCATTTACAGTGAAAAACTCGTAAAGAGCCAAACATTAATGACTTTAGAATTATTTGTTTATATTATTGTTTATTCTGGCTTATTTTGGTTTAACATTTTGTTAATTGATTTGGGGGTATCTGTGCATTATTTCTCCCTCTATGGGGCTGAGAGCCGCGGCGAATCGGCAGTGTAATTGAAGTTGATAAAGGACACCTGGGGGAGAGTGTGAGTGGGGAAGCGGAACAGTTTTTTGACTGCAAAGGGCCGCTCAGGATATACATTATATAGCGATCTGTTTGTTTATTTTATTTTGTGAAGTTTATTTTTGCTGATAAGTTTTCTATTAATAAATATAGTTTATAAGTTGACTTTGGATCCGCGGCTGCCTTTTGTTTTTATTTGATAGCGTGTTAAACCGGCTCAGCAACGGCTTACCTAATTGATTTTGTTTGAAGCCATCACATCAAGTCAAAAAACTCCGCTACGGTCAAGAAGAAACACACTGTGAACAGGACAAGACGCCGGAGAGGAAACACTGGTCCGGTCGTGAGTCAACAAATAAATGATGAATGGATCGGCGTTCAACGCTTTGTAGGCATGACATATCGGAAATGTTGGATGAGAATTAAAATACAAGAGACGATATGAACAGACTGAAGAAGAGTGCGTGTTTTTGGATGTGGGCTGTGTTGTGTCACGAAATGACGTCTTGCTGCGCTCCGCAAAAAATAAATAAACAAAACTGTCATCATAATAACGAGTGATAAATAAAATAAAGCATGGAAATTCCCAAGACCTCTGCCGAGGCAGAAGAAATATTAAAAGCTCTCAAAGCATCTCGTAAAGGAAAATTAGGAGCGTGCACAAGGAAAATGAACGAAATAAAAGCTGTGCTGCATGATGGTGAATGTATTGATGATGTCAATAAAGGTTTAAAAACTTTTCATGAAACGGTGGCTCATTTCAATGATGTGCATATCTCTGTGCAAAGGCTCTTATCAGAGGCCGAGAACGAGGAGGATCATGAAGACTGGTTTAAGCCTAGGATGATCAACTTTAAATATCGTGTGAAAGAGGTTGAAATATGGAAAAAGGAACAAATTGCACAATTGAAGATTGAACCTCAGGACAGCATCTCTAATGTGTCAAGAAAATCAAGAGGATCAAAGGCTTCTTCCTCAGCATCATTGGCATGTAGGAAGGCAGCTGCTGAAAATGCTGCCCTGCTGGCCAAAGATGCTGCATTAAAGGACAAACATGCACTGTTACTGCAAGAAGCAAAGTTGAAGACAGAATTGGAGAACATGGAGCTCAACGCAGAAATTGCAGCATCAGCTGCCAAAATAAAAATTCTCCAAAACACTCAAATGGATGAAATGTACCCAGGACCTGGAGTGGAGGAAGAAACTCGATTGGATGGAATGAATGCATAATGACTGTAATTGTATTGTATTGTTTTCTGTAACAGAAATGCAACAGTCGCCTTAGTTATGTACGGTGGTGGCAAGTGCAAAGCAAAATTACAAAGTGTAAAACACTTCAAATTTACATTTTGAAAAACATTTCATCCAAAACAAACAAAATGATCACCAATCACTCAATCACTTCCGGGTCACTTCCTGCATTTGGAACATTCCCTTTCCCTCAAGAATCTGTATTTTGTACATTTCTTTGGGGACTTGTAAAAGTGTTCTGCCACTTGTAAATTTGTCTCAGCGATTGTAAAAGTGTTTCACATCTTGTAAATTTGTTTTATAAAATGTAAAAGTGTTTTGGTTTTGTAATTTTGTTTTATGAAATGTAGGAATGTTTTTCAAAATGTAAATATGTCTCAAATTTTGTAAAAGTGTTTCCCACTTTGTAATTTTGCTTTGCACTTTCCAGCCACCGTATGCCTCAACTCAAGAAAAATTCTCTAAATACTGACATTACTAACAAGCCTAACAAAGCAGGCATTCAGTAAAACACAAAGCATGATGGGAAACAAGACATGCTAGGCTGTTGCTTCAATAATACAAAATGAACAATGGGCAATTTGGCCTTTTATCTTTTGTATAGGGTCAGACTTCCAAAGAAGTCAAATGTATGCATGTACTTAGTCCTCTGTTTTGATATGTAACCTTGCTACAAGCTTTTTTGTAAACGTTTTTTTAGTTGAACAGACTTTAAACCTGGGCCCTGCAGGAACACAAGGGGAAACGAAAACATCTATATATGAAAAAGCCTACTCTTAATGCATATAGCTTTCATTAACACAACACATAACACCAACACATTCAGTTAAAACTCTACCCATGGTATTTTAAGAAGGAGCACAAACAGAGGTTTTTTTTTTTTCTCTAGTTGTTTCATGCTGTATTGAACCTAGATGAAGATTATAAATAGGTCTAAAATGTGCAAACGGGTGACATTTATGTATATCTTGAAGTGTCTTTGTTTGAGTGCATACAGTATGTGGACAATGTTTCAGTTTTTAGAGTCTACCAAAATCTTCATGGAAAAATAGATAACATAAAGCCCATTGTGTTCTGTTTGTGTCACCCTCTCTTTCAGTTATCACTCTGTGTTGTATTTTCAAGTGTCGAATCCCGAGGACCAAAAAGGAAATCGAGGCACGGCATGCGCAGAGGCTGGCCGCCAAAAAATATGCCAACACGTTAGAGACAGTGCCACCTCTAAATGAGCTGACTGAGATACCGGGATGTGAGTACTTCTCTTTCAAACTCTTCAATATAGTCGAGATGCTTTTTAAATCGGTAATAAATCCATAAACATCAAAATGAAAGTCAGATGCGGACTGTGGTGCTTTTACAATGGCTCTGCTTATGGTTTTCTTCAAACGGTCTGTTTAAAAATGCAGAGAGGCCAACTTTAATAGAGAAAAATTAGAGATACATTTCTGAAAAATGATAGAATTTTCAAACACTGAAGTCTTATGACATCTAGTCGTTATGCAGAGTGTGTTATGTCCCCTTAGAGCACTCTGTGACTACTTTACACAAAAGCTTTCCCTACAGATCTGGAAGGCATGGGAAATTAACAAATGCAGAAAGCCAGCTTTGTATGTAGAGCAGTTTTGATTTGTGTCTCTATGAATGGGCTGAGATGTTTTTTTAAAACCATATTAAAATCTACATGGTCTTACAAGACTCTTTGCTGTTGTAGTCCTAATTTCAGATTGACCCAAAGTGGACAGCTTTTCCTTTTACATCATATCTTTTCTGGTGAAGCTTTTATTTTTTAAAGTTTTTTACTGTCCCTTCTTTTCGCCTCACAAAGCATGCTGCGCTCATTACAATTCTTCTGCTCTATTTGTGTGCTGTTATACTAAAATTTCTCTTCCTTTTCTCTTCCTTTCTCTTTTTCCTCCTCTTCTTCCTTCCCTTCTTTTCCTCTAGCTACCCCAGATGCTCCTGCAGTACAGACAGTCTCTGAGCAGGTTCAAAGTGCTAATAACAGCCAGCTGTCCATAGTTAGGTTGAGCGAGGAGCAACCCAGCTCCCTCACTTTGTCAGACACAGGATGATCTTTTTTTTTTCTGCTCTTACCTTCTTTCAGATGATCCTCTCAGCTTTGACATTTTTCTAAAACGTGGTGTACACGTAGGTGGCCAGTCGTTTAAGGTCACCCAATAGGTAACCACTACTTTAAGGTATTTTAAGTGCGTCTCACAGCCAGACATCCTGCCATCAGTCAAAGCAGTAAATAATTCTTGCAAATGGAGCACAGAAAAATATAAGAAAAAAAGAAGTGTGCAAAAGTGGAGCCACCTTTCAAAATGCTTTTTACATCACTTTGAAAAGTACAGCCAGAGAGGTATAAAAAAAAAGTAGTATAACAGACTTCCAAGTCTTGATTGCTGCAGTGGGTGAGAATATGAAACATTTTCTTATTGTTCAGCTTTGCAGCTGGACTTTTGTTTTGAATGAAGAGTCTCATATCTTGCTTCATGAATATTTGCATGAAATTGTAAAGATGTGACAACTTTGAGAAAATAATACAATTGAAAGTTGTTTTGCTTGTCAGCCATGGAAAGAAAAGTGCATTCATGTTGCCTGTATTGTGTGTGTGGTCGTCTATTTCACAACCTGTCTGATCCCTTTCTCAAGACACACTTCAAGAAAATCATGATTTGCACTGTCTGCCTCAAGTGTAAATAAAACATGATTTCTCTTGCCAGCAAACCCTGGTCTCAGCTGTTGATTGAATGTTCTCTTTTTTTCTTTCTCTTCCTCCCAGGAGTCTGGTGTGTTGCTTTGTGTGGATCTTTTCTATCTCAGCTGCTTCGCTGTGGCCTTTTCAGGTTAAAAAACATGACAAATAGGGACTGACATCTGTCTCTGCCTGTTCCTCTACATGCTACGTTATGCATTTGTATGCACACATGCGTCCATCAGTTATTGTGTAATTTATGGGGGGGGGCAGCCGTCAATACATTTTTTTCCTGCGTGATTACTGCATCTAATAAAATCACATGCTAATCCTGCTGTGGCAAGATAATGTAACTCTTCAATCACCAGTGGCACCACAGAGAGTCGAGGTCGAAATCCTCTTCCGTGACTATATGACCAATGATCCGTATGACTGGGAAAGAGCCTGAAGGGGAAGCTCACTGACTGCAGCCTTTATAAAGAATCAGGATAAAGACATATTTAATAGCTGATGTCAAGCATAAACTCCAAACAAAGCATGCAGTAATGTTTGCTTTTGGATTAACTAAGAAGGAAAGCAACAATGATCTAACTAGCAAATATGCAAATGATTGCTTTTCTGCAGAGATTATGTGACGCTTCGGCTGTTCTACCAAGAATAATGCAGTTAATATATAAGTTTCTGAAGTTCACTCTTCAGATTGAGGCCTCAATTATGCAAAACAACAGTGCACTCATGAAATGCTCCTCCTGAGGATAAAGTAAAAATAACATCAAACATAACTTAATTACATTTTGCAAATGAGGATCAAGAAATACCCAATCTTATCTTTTGGATGAGTGCATGGGTAACAGAAGCTTGTCAAATCTGTGTACTTGTTTAGAGATAATTATCTTATGGCACATTCAAGGACAGAAAATATTTAACTCAGGGAGGTATTATGACCATAAACTGACTTTAAAGATCCATGTTTCTGTATATAAATGTGTCCCATTTACGAATTTCTCTTTGCCACCATTAACACGTTCTCAGCGAGCTGTACAGCGTCTGAGTCGATATCTTCACAAGAAAAGACCGTAGTGAGCCTGAGAATGTCTGCTGAAAACACAATGGGGAAAAAGGGGCTAAAGAGTATAATTTTCTATCCACCAGGCCCTTTTCATCTGTCTCCCATGCGCTCACACAGACAGTGAATAAAATGCCTGAACTGAAGAGACAGCGTTATAAACTATATCATACCTTCCGTATCTCCCATCAACCTGAAGAAACCTGCTGTCCTCCAGAGTATCAAGTCAGCTGGACGTGGAGATCTTCTCAGCGTTTTTCTCTTAACTCAAAGAAACCAATCATACATCCATCCCCATAGACATCTCTCAATGGGCAGCAAGGGACAAATGAATTAAAGGATCATAGCACAGTGACAAAGAAAGATGGGCTTCACTTTTAGAAAGTCACTGTGAAAGTAATTATTGGCCCCAGTAATTCTGAATTAGTTTTTCTATATCAAGTAATACCATTACTTTACCAGCTGAACTTGTGACATTTGTCAGTAAAAAAGCACATTTGGTGTTTCACAGATGTTTATATACTGCACTTCTTCTTACTTTGTGATGTCACATAGTCACTATGATGTCCCTGCGTCGACTTAATGGCTTAAAGAAAAGGGGTGAGATTAATAGATGCCGTTCGTTCGGTGCTATTTGTCACTTGTGAATTACAGACTGTATAAAATGAAAAAGTTGAAGCCTCAACATTTGGAGCTCCCCCTACTGACTGGCTGCAGTATAGGTCACACGCTCTGCCTCTTCCATGTTAACAGGTAAAGTAGAAGAGGAGGGACGAAAGGGAAATGTAACAGACACTAACATACAAGTCTTTGACCTTTTACATATCTGTGAGTGTCTGCTTCAAAATGACACGAGAGTACTTAATGATGTGGACCTGATGGATCTTTTTCTTGGTAAGGGGGTTGGGGATGGGGCAATTCTTTTAACTCTGTAGAGCACCCTTGTTTAACCTTAGTTATTTTACATGTGCTTTAGAAATTAAGTGGATTTGACTTAACAATTTAACTGTACTAATTTTGTACTAATTTTCGTACAACTGGAATAGTTGGAATGGTCTCGTCTATCTTTATATACAGCCAATGCTGTGGACAGAGCTATTTTAGAGGTATTTAGATTAGTAAGAATAATCTAAATACCTGCCAGCGAGCTTCATGTTTACATACGTCTGACTAGAAATCTTCTACTAAATCTACTAAAAAATAAGATTACTTTTACTCACAAATTAGATATTCAACTGTATATATTCATTTAATGGTTTTCTGTTTCTTACATGTTCTACGGTAGTGGTGTGGTCTTCAAGGATTTTCTTTAGATAGCATTGTTAACCTTTAATTGCCATACTACACTACTTTTCTGAACATTAAATAGGAAAAGGACCAAAAATTCAAAAGCACTTAAAGCAATTTGACACAAATTAGTGAAAGATCAATCTGGATTTCAGAGTGCTACATATACTTACAGCTCTTAATTAAGCCTTCACCGAACCATACAGGCCTTTAGTTATTGTAGCGGTGAGTCGTCTCTCCAGGTTTTGTTTAGAAATGTACTGACATAGAAAAGAAAGGAGACAAAGATACACCAGCAAATTCACAATAATCTTGACTGCAGGGGGAATGCACAAGGATAAAAGCAGAAAACATGTTTCATAATTAAGTGAAAACACAAAATCTATTCACAACAGTTCTGATGGTTGGTTGAATATTTGAAGTCAGCTTACACTGTAAAACACAGAACCACAAATAATTTCAGGTTTACTTAAACCCCCTACAGCAGCTTTTGACATCTGCTGTGTGTTTGTAGTTGGGTTTCTTGGCCTCCGTTTGTGTATCCAGTGACACTGCAGCGTTTGTAAAGCAAATGTTTGTGTTGCTACTGGGGAAAAAAGCAATGATGCTCCGGTTGGCCTCATCAGGACTCTGTCCTTTGAGCAATTTTCACAGCCGTTACACAATAGTTGCTGAAGAGTAAAATCACACCAATGATTCTTGTTGATCCATACCACAGGTGTTATGTGTGAAGTCTCATATGTGGTTGTTAGGTCACTTGGGAGGTCTGTTAGAGCCCAAACGCTTTAGCTTCAGCTTTTCTTGAGGGATTGCTTTTACTATGTTCTCTGATGCTATAAGAAATAAATTAAATATACCTAAAGAATTTGTTTTGGTAGTCTACTGCAATTCATGGGCACTTTAAGTCATACCCAAACATATACAAGTAAAACCTAATCAAGAGCTTATAAGCCTTTAAACATTGTTGGACCCCAGTAAGAATGTAGCTGATTTATATGATGGTGCTAATGGGTATCCAAAGAAAGAAAGAAAGTAATTCAAAGATCAATGTGTATCTATACATTTACATATCTTGAAAAATATGCTTTAAAAAAGCAAAATCTAAAAGCTGTAAAAATATCTGGGTGTTCACATAATGTAAATGTAATGGCTGGAGCTGGTGAAGAGTTTGTTCAGTTTAACATGGGTGAACATATATTCAAGCCTCCAAAACAGGAAACTTAGATTTTATCGCAAACCCACATGTATCGATCCACAGAACGTGACCTGCACTGGTCACACAAGGTGGTAGGCGCAGGTGCCCTCCTGAGCCGTTTAAGTTGCGCTTGCCTCGTTGAAGTGGATCGTAACAGTGCTACTTGCTAAGTCTCTTGGAGCTCCTCGGAAAACGCTGACTTCCTCTCTGCCTGCGACAGCTAGCTTACCTGTTGTTACGCAGCAGGTCCTGTTAGTATGATTAGCTGGGCTAGCTAAGCAATAGCTGCAATCCCTAGATTGATTAACACATGTACAGACAAATCAGTATTGACCTTTGACTCAAAAGTGGTGCAAAAGTGATGTTTTTCTATTAAAAAAGCACGACATTGATTAACATACAGACAACTCAGTGTTGATATTTGATAGTTGTTTGTAGGAACTGAGGACACGGAGCTGGAAAACAGGACAGTTCCAGTCAGATTGCAAAACATTGTCACCCACTTAGCTAAAAAGCACATAAGTCCACAGAAGAATGAATACTGATATCCACACTGGTCTGCAGTATAATATTTTTCACACCATGTGTTTACGGTGCTGTATGCACTATACGTTTGTGAACTGCAAAATATGAACGTCATATCCTGCCGCAACTGTTTACTGAGGAGAGAACATGTAGATGAGAGTGGGCACTCTCAGTAACAATACAATACAATACAACCAATCAATCAATGTTTGATACTGCTACTGTGGTGCTTGAAGGTATTGCAGTGATACCACATTTAACTGTTATAACTAAACAACTTGGTGTAACGATTTCACAGATGCAAACCCATGTATAGAATGGTTATAAAAAAAGCTCCTGTCTGCTGGTCTCCTCTGTACAGAGCTAGCTATCAGTTAGCATTTCTGTTTAACTTGTGCTAAGCCAGGCTCAGCTAACGGTCTGATACAAATTTCTCACTTGATTTCATTCACTTTATTACTTAAAATGTTTACTTTTACTCCAAGAAGATAATTTTCTTGTCGTCATATTTCAGCCATCCTCACTCCCTGATTCTAAATGTGGAACACACCGTCTCACACAAAAAGCCGACTGTTAACTTTTGTTCTCTTTATTTCACACAGAAAGCCCTCAAAGCCATGCCATTAAAAGAATAAATAGACCATGCTTATTGCAGAGAGAAACAGATGTGCCTTCATTACATTCAACCTACTTAGCCCCGGCCCTCTGTTGGATTGCATTATCTCTTCCAATTAGCACTCGAGGCAGGACCCTGATGATACCCTACCTGATGCAGCTATGAACTGTTTGTGTTTTTCCTGTATGTTTTCAGCTGCAAAGGTAGAAGAGAAGGAGGAGGTGACGACAGTCTCGGGGAAAGTGGACGGTGAAAAAGGAGAGAAGAAGTCCAAAGAGGGCAAAAAAGAAGGCAAGGGTGCCAAAGAGGGGAAAGGGGATGAGAAGGATGCTAAGAAAGGTGAAAAGGGAGCAGCCAAGAAAGATGCCGCTGATGGAAAAGGAAAGAAAACTGGTGAGAAGGGAGACAGGGGAGACAAAGGAGAAAAAGGAGGCAAAGGAGGGGCTAAAGGGGGAGCTAAGAAAGCTCAAAAATGAACTCTGACTTTCATGGACAACCACTGAAAATAATCTCTTCACATTGTTTTGCTGCTAGCTCTTGTGGAGTTTTTTTTTCTAAGATGACTTTTTATCATATTATATAAAATAAACAAAAAACTTTTACACAAAAAAATGAATAATTTGTCCACTTCTCTATCAAGAAAGGTGCAAGAACATCAGAGTACAGTAAAATTCTGGATTTATTGTCGTAATCACAATTCACTGATGAAACATTAGAGAGCAGAAACAGTTAACACTGATATCTACAGCGTGCCTTCATCACCTTATGAGGTGTGCCTTAACAAACACTCCTCCACATACTGCATCTGAAGCATCAAGACCCATTTGGACTCCACTGAGATAAATAAAAGACCATGAAACACACTATACTTCCATGAGAGGTATTTAAAATACAATGAAAATACAACATTAGCTCTATGATGATGGGCCTTTCTGTACACTTGATGCCAAAACACAATCTTTGTACATGTTACAATCAGAACAAAATACTTTTCTATAGCATTAAAGTGCTCAAATTTTATTTTTAAAGTGTTTCTTTTTTAATTTAAGATGTCCATGCTCTTGTACCGGCTGCACTATTACTGAAAAATGTCTGGTTTACAGGACAGTATACATACCCAATGTCAATTTATTCAGCTTAAATTAAAAAAAAATTAAAAAAAATAATTCAAATGTAATGCAAAATATTTTTTGTACCTACTCTTTAACTGGGTAAAACATTCAGAATGAGGTTCCCAGAAAATTGAGAAAAATGCAGTATATATAAAACATGAAAGAGACCAGTTAAAAGTAAATGTTTTAACTGTCAGTTAATTACTGCATCATTATTTCACAAAAGTCTCCTCAGTCTTCCATCATTGTGGCCTGCAGGATCATGCTATTAAGATTTGAGTCCGTCCACTCAACCTTGATTAGCAGCGATGATTCATTTTCATGGAAAAGTTCAAGTTGGATCCAATTTGAATTTCTGGAGGATCATAAGCACTTCTTAGAAATTCTGAATGTTCAAACTGCATACACACATCAGAATCTTTGGTTTCTGTGTGGCTGACATGGGGTCATTAGGTATTTCTTAAGTGTTTTGAAGATATATATATTTTGTTGCTAAGACAAATTTCCTTTGTGGTGAGAATACACGCACCCAGAACAGTCAAAGATTAAGACGTTGTTTTAGTTTTCAGATAACACTGGATGCCTGTGGCCCAGATGATCAAGTTACGTCAAAAGAATGTAACAGTCAGTGTGTTTTTTAAAAAGAGATTTTTTCATAATACAGGAAAAAATATAATATTACCAACCTAACCATTTTTAAATGTGACTTCTTGGTGAACAGTTAATGAATCGTGTATGGCTCATTGATTGGTTGATATCAAATCTGAAATGGAAGTATTCATTATCCAACATGCTATCCACTCTTTCAGAAGTAGTATTCACCTGCTGGACGGACTTGTTAAGAGTTAAAACTGCAAACAGGCTAGTTTCTGACCTTTCAACAATGAGTCAAAGCAAACACTGTAATGGATCCAAACTTGGATTTAGGGAACTGGGAGAATAAATCAGTCAGTGAGAAGTGATTAAAAAAATGAAAATTGAATGTATCTTTAAAATGGACTGAATCGTTTTCCAAATCACAACTTCGTTCCAAACCAAAGAGTGACCAATCTACACAGAGACCAGGATTAGTTCCAAATAAAAAAAAATCTGCTGTAATGTGACAGTTTTAGTCCATTGTCACTGAGCTGTGGACTGTATAGATTGGTTTTCTTATCTGCCTTACTGCTGTTTACATTACACATAAATAAAGTATGTTAGGACTCTCTGCTTCAATACTTCTATCTTGAAACTTTCCTATACTTAATATCAGCTCCAATTTACTGCAACTTTGAGACTTTTTTGGTCATTGTTAACAAGATCACGGTAAAAAAAAAAAATCAAAGAAAGGCTGCAACATAACTTCCTCTGACATCATAACATGCCTTTTTTCTTTGGCGTGGGATGCAATGTGACCTAGCCTGCAAAAAAATCCGGACAAACTGGGTAAATGACAAGTTACAGAGTTTCAAATATATCCTGGAATGCTTCATGAAACGCTTGTTTGTGTGCCCTCTGTCACCTGCAAATATATTCAACAGTTTTTTTTGGGACTATATACATTATCAAATATTTCAAAACTTCTGTAAACCAACACATTGAAAAAGAAAACATAGCTTTATAACATATTAATATACATGAACACTATTAGCTCACAATTAGAATGTATTTCTGATCTTTGTAAACATTATGACTTGTATGTATTTACATCAAAAAGCAGCATATCACTGGAGCATCTGTAAAATGTAACACGTTATACATTTCCAGGTTTTCCTTCATAATCTGCACACATGTTTTTGTGATCTTTTTTTTTTCTTGAATTCCTCATTTAATTAACATTCCAGTGGAATTGAAGGCTATTTCCTGCAAACTGTGTTTTTAAAAACGTTTTCACTCATATGATGTTTTTTTTTTTGTTTTCTCATTTCCATAAAGTTCCTCTTGACCTCAGCTAACTGATCCCAAAGAGAGGGAAACAGCTCTCAAATAAGTCAACTATGTTGGCCACGTGTGTGTGTGTGTGTGTGTGTGTGTGTGTGTGTGTGTGTGTGTGTGTGTGTGTGTGTGAGTGTGAGTGAGAGAGAGAGAGAGAGGGAAGGGATTTTTTGAGAAAATCTAAATATGAAACATTCATTTGAACTCTTTGACATCTGTTGAAATCAGAGAAATAAAAAACAGGTTCTTTTGAAACAGCAAAATTTGTACAACATTTGAAAAAAACAAAAAAACTCAAACAACTTCATATAGAACACGATTATCCTCAGAGAAATGCTGACTATAACACAACTTTTAAAGTATAAAAATAGGTGTGCAACAACAGAGGACTTCAATTACCTGAGTACCTTCCCTTTAACACTGAAGTGGACTTTAGTCATTTGAGAAGCCACGTTGCAGAGCATGACCAGATGCCTCAAAACCTAGCATTAATCAGTTTTAAGCTGAGTCTACTTATGCTGATTTACAAGAAAGACATGCTGATGGAACTGCCCACACATGTGTCTCTAAGTGCACTCAGACATTCACCTGGCTTTTAGGTGATTAAGGCCGCTCATGGCGACCGCTGTAACAAACCCCGGTTAGATTTAAGCATGAAGCTGAGCACATATAAATGCAATCCAAAAACAAGAAAACAACTGTTCTGGCAGTGGAAAAGACATAAGAAGTGTCAGTCGGTTTTTGTCTTATTACACATTCGATGTGGCAGGCGGTTGGTGAAAGAGTTGAGGGAATTTGCCACAAAAATGAGGGACACCCTCCCTCAAATAAAGGCAACCAGGCTCATTTAAGAGATACACCCTTTTTTTGTGACACAGGCCTCATCCCTCTGCAATGCTTTTGCTCGCTTCACAGGAGGAAAAACTGGCAGTGTTAACGATGAAGCTATCCGCAAAGGACAGTTTCATGTTTTTTTTTCCCATTTCTTACAGGTCACATGACTGTCTCCCTCTCCTCCTCCACCACAGGGGAGGGTTTCTCGTCCTCGCAAGGCCTCGTGGCTGCAGAATGCTCCTCGTCGGGCAGGTGGAGCTCCTGTCCCGACGAAGGTATGGAGTTCTCAGAGACCGAGCCGTTCTTTACGTACCCGGGGAGATTCCTGTGTCCGTTCACAGGCACGGGACCGAGCCTGGTGGTGAGGTGGAGGGCGTGCGGTCCTCTGGCAGTGACATTAGTAACACTGGTGTGCGACACCATGGGTCCATAGCTGTATGTGTTACTTCCGCTCCGAGCTTTTCTCTTAAAGTCCAGAGCCAGAGTCCTCCTGCTCCACGACTTTTTGATCTCGGCTTGCACCTTGGAGGAAAAGGAAGTTGTTTAGAGAAATAAGGGCTAAACATATCGTGCAGGATGATCTTGATTTAAAATGCCACGGAGTACATACCTCTCCATTGCAAAAGCAGTATATAATTGCCACCAAGAATCCCTGAAAAAGGGTGGAGAAAGATTTTATTGACATGATCCATGAATTTATAGGCCAGTTAGCTTCAGTTAGCACTTAATTTAACATTTAAGAGGTATTCTTTTATATCAGACAAGCCTCTCTTCCTAATTATAAGAAACAGAATTAGAATGAGTCAATGCCACGTAGGTTGTTAGAAGTGTGTCTTAGTGTTGTCTGCGCATCACAAATGAAATCAAAAACTGGACACAAACTTAACAGTAGCACTCTTACCATAGAGCAACTAAAATAGAACACAATAAAGATTTGATAATAGTGACAAAATAATATATGAAATATGTAGAATACGTCCATTTGGTGTATGATAACAGATGGTATCTTAATGGAGATCTAAGCACAACCAAAAATCTCCACAGTAAGCAACAATGGGTGGGTTCGTTCATTTGTTCAACTTCAAAAGATAAGCGAATGTTTAATGGGACCATCAGAGCTTTATTAGCATGTCAGACTACGGCAGCTTTACCTGGAAAGAGTTAAACAGCATCTCATAGTGCATCTGGATGAGCCAGGGAACTCCAGACACCTCTGTGTACGGCATGGCGTTGAATATGATGTAGTGCACGCCGAAGAGCGGCATCAGCACCAACGTAGACTTCAGGAGTTTCCTGTATCAGTGACAGAACAGACATGTTTGGTCTTAGTTTGTCAAAGCTTCTTAATAATCAAAAACCTCTGATGCAATAAGTGTAATTAAATATGTATTGTTTTTTTTAAATCACAAACATATCCAATAATGAATGAATCAAAGTGTATGACAATTAGCACAATGCTAACACTCTGTACCTGTACTGTTGTCTTGTGTCGCACCTTCCAGCATTTGTTTCTCGCAGCTTGGTTGCCAACACTCTGATTATGTTCAGAAATAACATAAAATTGACCTGTAGTATAAATAGAAACATAATGGCATAATGTCATTGCAATCAAAATGAGGGTTCTAATCCAACAGCTGCACTGCCCCAGGTGCAGCAAATCACTGCCTTTCCCTCCGCAGCAGGGAAAAGGTGCCAGCAGTGAACATATACTCACCACAACGGCCGCCAGGATAGGCACTTGATAAATCCATTTCAAATTGCCCGCACTTAAGTCCCAACACCTGCAGGGATCAACAACAACAAAATGGATCAGTAGAAGCTTAGTAAGGATCCGGCTGCTAGGTGAGTTAATCCAAGAACACTGCTAATCCGTTCATCTAAGAGATAAAACCATGTTAAAGTATGACAACAAAATAACTTCTGTTAAATTAGGTATTTCCTGTGTTTTCACACAAAGCCCCGTTCTGCTTCAAGGACGTACTCAAACCTTTGAAATAATGCCATTGAAAGAAGAAGATATGTGTCCTTCCGGAGTTGGTAATGAAACACTTTAATCGGCTTTAACTACATGATTCAAGAAGAGGAAAGAAATCCTTAACAGTGTCTGGCTATTATTCAAAGCAGCTTTAAACCTTCTTCTTTCTACTGAATGCAAAGTTAAGTTGTTATTGTCCCTGTGTCGTTGCACTATGTTTAAACAACTGATGAACAGTAATTTTGTATGCAATGGTCCAAATAACGTTATTGTGACCACAGCTTGTTTGCATTTTTTTACCCAGCACTGGAGTCAAAGACACATTTTGTATTGCATATTGTGTTGTATCTTGTTGTATTATATCACGATCTTACAAAGGGAATGAGTAATTGTTCCAAAATAACAAACCGTCATTGTTTTGTTTCTTCACAACTACAGGGTGTGTTTTTACGAGTGAAAGTATTATATTTTTTTTCCCACTGAAAGAACAGTTACTTTTATTTCTTTATTACATTCTGTTTCTTGAATTCTAGGCATATCATTTTCATTTGGGGGGGATGTGATGGCACAGATAGTATGTTTGTGAGATAAAGCTTGAGAATGTTTTATTTCTCCACAGCTACTGCAGTACTACATTTGCTTGTTGTGTGAGGAGGAATAGACTCAAAGACAGCCTAGAGAAACGTGTCTGCAGTCAGACACCACTACACACGGTTTCCCTTTCCTGTACAAAAAGAAGCCTAGACAGGAAGCAGAAGTACCGTGGCTGTGTAAGGTTGAGGTCCTTTGGGCAACTCCTGCATACCAGCTTAGCTGTAAGCTCTAAGATCCAAAGTCCTCAATGTTCAACCAGGATACAGGAACAAAATGTGGAGGCTGCAGATAGTGCAAAGAGGGGCTTTAAAGCCCGCCAAGTTGGTTTGAGGCAGCTTTCTTTCTGAACAGCTCTACCCATTTCAGATTGGTCAATCTGCTTTAAACCCCATGTTGCTTTCATACCTCAGCATACTCAGAAAATATACTTTTTTTATGACTCAGTTTGCAACTCATGACCCCAGTATTTGTGTGGTGAAGCTCTACAAGAAAAACATGGATAATAAATCCATGCAGATCACTTACTCTGTGTCTGCAAACGTCGCTCTCACAGTCGCCCAAACTGTCACAAATATGGCTGGTACTCCTGGAAAATAAAGTCAAAAAAACACACAGTGTTGTCATAAAACAGCCATCGTTATAAGAAAACACTCTAAAAGATGACATCAGAGGTCCATAAAAAGCTTATGTATGTAGAACCCGGGTAGCACAGCATCCACATTGTATGCGCTGTGCTTATGTAACTTTTACGCACAGTGTGTACAATGCAGGAACTGTAAGGCCCATTTTCATGCAATAAGGCATTCTTCTTTATCATTGTCTGCTTATTCATAAATAACAGCATCGGTTTTAGAGTGCCTCCCAAAGTTTTTGCAGAACACTAAAGCTGCCAAAACTTAGCCCGTTACATACATGTAGATGTAATGAATATAAATGATAGAACTCACCCCATCCAATCAGAGTGAATCCCCAAAGATACTTTCTATCTGAGAAGAAGGTCATGAAGATGAGGCTGTGGAGGTAAAGTCCCTCTACAAGGATCCAGTAGTAATTGGTTGCCAAGAAGTACATGAACAAGGTAACAACCACTTTGCAGCCAATCTGTCGAGAAATGGCAAGGAGAGCAGATTTAATCCATACTCACAGTGGGAAAAAAAAAATTGCTTTTCATATTCCAGTATCAGTCGTGTCCATATTTACACAGCAGCTACACATCAGTATACAACGGGGGTCAGGGAAAAGCATGGGATGAATATGTATTCAGCTTTCTGTGCAGAAATGTTTCTTTGCAGTGAATACTGGAACATTGTATGGACAGTCATTGATGTAGAGTGGACGAAAAAAAAAAAGTCAATTAGATCAATAAACATCTGATTCTTAATACTGCGTCCTAGTCCAAGAAATACAACAAACATGGATCAAATCCAACAACTTTCAGATTTTTGCAGAGATTCTGTCCCTTAAAGATTTGATTTTGAAGATGGGTCTCAAACAGATGAAATGATTTTGGGACGAAATGCAGCTGCATTCTAAAACAGACACACTTTAAAGGTGCACTATGGAGTTTTGGTAGAGAAATGTGAAAGTCGGAGAAATTTACAGATTCTGTGGTATATGTTCATAACTCTATACACAAACTGCCCTCAGAGGAAAATTGTATAACTTAGTCATGGTGGTGAAACTGTAACTCTCCTGGTAGCTTTTAAGCTCGAAACAGTTTTCAGGGATCCATTTTTTTCCTTTTTGATAAAGTTTGTGTATTTAGTTCAGAAAGTATAGCATAGAATTATATCAATTCTCCAACTTACAAATTTCACTACCAAATCTACATAGTGCCCCTTTAAGAGTAACCTGAGACGGTTTCTCCTCCTGCAGAGCTGCTTACATATCAAGGAACAGGCATTGACATTTTATGCAACTACCTACTAAAAAACTGAGAAAGTGCAAAAACTCATGGTCTGCTCAAAGGGTTACAACTGTTCAAATGAATCATTAAAAGCTTCTCTGTTCGCTGCTGCTTTTTACCCAATTTAATTGGCAACCAATTTAAATTGCTTATAACCTAAAATAAGATCAGCAAAGTTCTGACGACTTCACCACTGAACGCCTTCGTCTTTTCTTGCTTCAATCTAAAAAAAAAAATGCCACATTGTTCATACGAACAGGAGATCAGTAAAGATGAAATCTTATTTCTAGATTTCCAACACAAACAATGAGAAAAAAACCCAATAATAAACAGAAAAAGAACATATGTTGGTAATGTTTAAGTTTTCTTTGTAATTAGTTTTCTATAAACGGTTATTGCAGTGACTTGCATATAAGACAGGGTCACATTTGTCTGTGTTGCATCTCAACACTGTAAGCATTTTAGGAACTGAGGAGACAGTTTTCTATGTTTTTGATAGTGGTGTGTTTTCCATTCTTGCTTATTTCAGCTGTTGAACATTTCAGGATCAAGATGATCGTATCTTATAATTCATAACGCTCCATACATTTGAGTAGTGACTGAAAGAATGAGATCGCAGATACAAGCGGCCAAGAATGAGTTTCCTCCAGCAGGCGGCTGGGCTCAGCCTTAGAGATTGGACGAGGAGTTCACACACATGGAGGGAGCTTGGAGTAATTGCTTCTCCTTCGTATTGAATAGAGCCAGTTGAGGTGGTTCGGGCATCTGATTAGTATGCCTCCTGGACAACTCCCTTAGGAGGTTTCCCAGGCATGTCCAACTGGAAGTAGACTCCAGGGTAGACTCAGAGCTTGCTGTAGGGATTATGTTTTCCATATGGCCTGGGAGCTCCTTGGACTCCCCAAGGTGGAGCTGGAAAACGTTGAGAGAGGGATGTCTTGGTGGACTTGCTCAGCCTGCTGCCACCATGTTGTTCTAAAACACAACTCCACTCTTTGCAGCCTGAAAGCTTTTCACAGCCTTCTGTATATCCTGTCTTATGCACTGACCTTTCTTTGCACTATATCAACAACACACTATACTTTCTCACTACATACTTTTGCACTGAATAGTTGAGTGGATGTTTCTGCAGCTTGTGTACTTTAGAATGATCCAATGTCAACATGATGACATAAAATGCGACACTGCTTTTAGTATGCTTTAAGGTTGTGACATTTCACAGAAGAAAAACTTATGGCTTAAGTTTATAATCGATGTGCAGATATAGCACACATGGACATTTAGGGAATGGAAGTAAAAAAACAGCAGATATTCTCCTGGTGGCAGCATGTTTCTATGTACACCTTTTTTTCAGATTGATTTTTCCAAAGTGCTAAATATTTCACTTGATCATATGGGAAGTGAAAGGTAATCACACTTACCACTTGTAATACACAGTTTTTTTAACTATTTGTGCAGAGTTGATTAGAAACCAGCAGATGTCACAGCTTGTGTTAATAGTTACATTTTATAGCTTCTTCGTGGGCGAAGTGAATTTCCCCTGTGACCTACTTTCTTGTTTTGTTTTGCATTAGGAGATTCATCATTCAAATCATTGATTTCATTATTCTTTTTTTGTTTAATCGATGAATTCATGGATCAATAAATTGCAGCTTCTTGTTGAAATGGGTGTCCTTGCTTAGTGCTGTTTTATATAGGGACGTTTATCTTGTTATCAATAGTTGCTGCTGTCATTATTACGTTCCTTTTGTATTGACAGTCGGCGGGTAAATCCCAGAATCCCAAACTGATTAAGTCAGCCATTGATTCAGTTGACCTGCATGCTGCTTTAAGCTTCAGCTGTTGTTGTCGAATGGTGATGAAATTCATTTTAGAATTACTTTGAGTGCTCCTCTTTTCTCTCTGTGTGCTTATTATCACTCTGTTCATTTTTATCACAACCTTCTTTCATCAGTCTGAATTCTTAAAAGCTTCGTTGGTGCATGGCCAGGATTGGATTTGAACATTTTATTTCTTGCAATATTCTCTTGTTTATTCAAATCTGTTTCCTAAACTTAAAATAATTGTGTGCGAGCAAATCAATCAACCAATCCATCAATCATTATTTGTATAGCGCCTATTCAGAACAAATGTCATCTCCAGAAACCTTACAAAAAGAGCAGATATTATCTGCAGGAAGGATTTCTCCTTTGTATTCCAAAGAAGCGTTGTCACTGCAGCATCTTGTGCACAGACACTTCTCTCTGGCCTCTCATTTCCCAGACAAGACCAACCCAGAAACCAAGACATCTAAGAGGATTGATAGATGAATCAAACAGGCTAATCAAATTATGATGAACGCACAAACTCTAAAAAAGTCAGCTAATGAAATGTACCACATAAAAGGTGAGTGCCAAACGCTGCACACACATTCATTTGTGATAAAGCTTTGTTATATAAAGTCTGTTTTATCTAGATTAACAAAAACGTACATTTTCATTGATAGAGCTTCAGTACAGTGGTTTCAGGGTAAAAAACAAAACATGTTTGGGTTATTGTTCTAAGGTTGCCAGCTCTCATTTATTAAACACACTGAAGTACGCAGTATGCAAAGGCACATACCTGTAGTCCTCCGTAGTGTACATGCATCTGCAACTTTAATGAAGCCGTTTTAATCAGAACTCATTATGCACAGCCACGAGATAAAAATGTCAGCTAAAAATGTCAGCTAAATATATTGCACAAATTATTTGTTTGCACACTAAAGCATGCATGAAGAGTTCCCAGTCTTAACCCATTTTTTTTAAAACTTGACTCCGAGAGGGAAGGCCAAGTCCTGGCCTAGTAAAAGCTTGGCATGCCGACAAACATTGCAGTTTATTTGCCTTGAAAAGCAGGTGAGACTTAGCGAAATACCACTTCCTTTTAGCAAGCAAAACATTTAACACCCAACTACTCTGAAAATCAAATTGTCTGTGCATGCAATGCAATCAGACAAGGATGATTCCTTTTGTGATTTTATTTGAAGAAAAACAGAGTCTCCTCTGCAGCTACTCTCATTTCTTCAGTTTGGAGATGAAAAACCTTTTAAGAAAACCTCCCCCCCCCTTATCTTCAAAGAGACCATGTCTGTCTCGACCTCATCTATGTATGTGTGTTTAAGCTGTGCTGGTGTACTCACAAACTGTGTTTTGTTGGCTGGCGGTGCCTCGGTGATGGACTTGAGGTCTTCCACTGTGACTCTTTCCATGTTTTCCAAGGCTGATCCAGAGTAGAGCACGATATCTTTCACAAAAATGCTGATAGCTCTGAGCATGTAGGACACAAAAAGGTGCATGTGGATGTAGTTCCTGGTGCAGTGTAATCGTCTGGGGGAGGAAAAAACAAACAAGAGTGGCAAGGTAAATAAAATAGATTCAGCTTCTGTGTGTCTTTTTTTTGTGTGTGTAATTATGCTCGTGGGCCGGCACACCTTCAAGTAAGAGTGAGATTTTTCACTCACTCACACACACACACATATAAACGATACTCGTTTTAATTAGAGCCAGCTGAGTTCCACGCTGACTATAACACATTCTTTTAGATTTAGGGGCTTGAAACGCACAAATATTGAATTGCTCGCCTCAAAGTGAGCTGTAAAAACAAAATTGCAAGCATGTGTCGAGTAAAGCGTGCAAATTTCCCTCTGCAGACGAGCACAAATGTATCTGTCAAACGCTCTCCAAAAACATCCTGTTTAAGAGTTTACTGAGAAGTGGCACTTTGAGGTCATGGTGAAGATTAGAATCAGGTGTTGCATCACAAAAGTCAAGACAAACAAGTCAGCTATCTGAACTAAATATAAGTTACTGATTTTTTTTTTAAATCCATTTTTAAGTCCATGATCCCTTTGATATTTGTAATTGATCATTTCTTCTCTCTAAAGCCGTTTTAATTGGCTGGATGTGTGTCGAGCTACCCTTTGCAAAGTATTGATTTAGAATTGGTCAGCTCAAACGAGCAAACATTTCCCTGGTGAAAAATACAGAACATGACTGCTAATGTGATGTATCCCTTTTTCTCGGTCCGGAAAACATTTACGAGTTCTCCTGTCTGCATTACTGACATGTTGACGGGAGACACGGAGCGCTCTGCAGCATGGCCAGAATGTCAGACGGGCCCCTGGGATAACTTATTAAACTCATTTGGCCCGTAGATTTCCTGGTGCCAGTTGGAAAGCGTTCCTGAAGCTGTCTGCCTGCTGGCCTGTACGGTAAGGCACGCTGTTAGGAACATTGGTAAACAGCGCCTGCACATTGATTCCTGATACTCGCCCATGATAAACAAAATAAGCAAATACAGACAAATCCTCCCTGCATTAATCAGATATGGGGAAAAAGTTGAATTCAACCTTGTTTGAGGGCAGACCTATGCAATTAGTCGTAAATGAGCCAAATAAGACCCTTTGAAAACCTTAATATATAGTTCTTAATATTGACCTATTTTTAACAATCTTACTGTTTTATAGATTTCATTTTTTTCCTAAAAACTCTTCTGATAAACATATGAAATATTCCTGCTTTTGGGTATACTCCGTTGAAGACTATTCTCAATGAGGCAATACAAGGATTAAAAATACAGTCACATGTAAAAATCTGAATTTATCTGGTAATAATATCTCTTATTATTTACTGCTTGGTGGGATTACAAAGACAATAACAGAGCTTCGTGTCTTTGTATAGAAATCTGAAATCAGCATGCAAACAACAGAAGAACCTAAATGTCAGATGATGGAGCACGCATTACTGCAAGCCTGGAGGCAGACTCCTCTTCAAAAGTCGACATATCATGGTTTGATAAAAGTCAACTTAAAAGTCAAAGGTAATGTTGGATACAGTTGCGTGCTTCATGTTTTTGCCTTGACAGCTTATACGCTGCATTGCATGATTGTACAGCTGTGGCAGATTGCATGACTTCATGCAGAGCCTCTTTCTTTTCATTAAGTCATCCTGAAATTAATATGCCCTCTGCAGCACAGCATGATTGCAACGACATCATGATCAGACATTGGTCCATCATGCCATGAAACATTAAGAATCCCTGTTATGATCTCTCCTGCAATTGCTCTACCCTTAACTCTCTGACCCTGTTTTCTTGTCATTCCCAGTCTTGGGAGCGTCTGTTTGAAAATATTGATTGTGAAAAAAATTGCAGCGAGAGCATTCACTCACCGGAAATATCCCAGGATGACCACAGCCACCATGAGTGATCCCAGAGAGATTGAGTAGCCCACAGTGTAGATGAGGTAGAGGCGGTGAAAGACCTCCTGTTGGAAGAGCATCATTTATATGAGAATGTACAACATCACCTCATTTCACTGCAGCATTAGATCTTCTGAGAGTTCAATAAGTCTATATTTCTTCCCTTTTCAGCCACAGTGTAAGAAAAAACATTCAAAAGAAATCACCTGTTGATTTGTTCCTAGAAAGTAAGACAGACGGGTTCTACGAAATATGTGTAAGGTCGGCTACAGAAGCCTTGAAAAACCTGTGTGTGTGTGTGTGTGTGTGTGTGTTTGTGTGTGTGTAAACAACTGCTAAAAACCACAAATACATCTGATTACTACATCAATCAATCAGTTATTTTATATTAAAGTATGTTTTTGATATAACAAAGCAGCAACCAAAATCACAAATGGAGGGATTTTCTGTTATTTTTTTCTGTTAGTTAGTTCCCTCCTTTATATAAACACAGAGGAGGCTGGTAATGTCATATAATCAGATATAATGAGCACCACAGTATAAACAACACGTTACTTTTACTGTTAGCTCATCTAATGTACTCGTGTATAACAGATAAGGTTCAGGTGGCTTCATCAAACCTGATGAAACAGCATTGATTCAGTATTTTATCAATTTTAAAAAAGAAAATTTATCTCCACCTGCTGAAAAACTTAATATTGTTTTTTTATATAATATTTATTGTTTTTCAGCTAACAGAGCTTTTTATACTAAAGCTCTGTTTTAGTTTAAGCCATGCTGATGGGTTATTAAACTAGAAACACACAGTTGTTTTTATTTTATAGATGTTACAGGACTTAGTTTTTATCAGTTCAATCCTCCGGGTTGTTTAATTTAGGCTACATATAAATGCAGAGAAAAAATGGAAAATGTTCACATTATATCGGCACTCCCCCTCCCCATTACTAAACCCACTCAAACATGTGTACATCACTTTTTTTTCAAACGCGCCTCTTCTTGGCAACAGTAACGTTTCAAGCACCCAGAAGTTACTGATGGAAACAACATCTGACACGGCTGGTGGAGCTGAGAAAGGCTGGGTGGAGCAGCGTGATGTTCCAGCAGCGAGCTGGCAGCCAGAGGACGCTGTGAGGAGAGCCACTAACCAGACCCCTCTGTGCGTCAACAAGCACGAAGAGGCCAAGAGCCCTGTGTGATGTAACCAGAAACTCTACTGCTGTTATCACTTAGCATCAGAGGCTTGCACCAAAAAACATACCCCTAAAATTTTTATTTTTTTTTAAAGTGGGTGCCTCAGTTGTGGTGGTGGTCCGCGGTATGGCAGTTAGATATGTGTGGGGATTTCGTTCGTGCATATGCATTTGTCATTAACTGCTGCAGCCCGCACTCTCTGGAGCTGATCATCATAAACATCTGATGTCAGAAAGAGATTGAAGGGCGCCATGATGAGGTTATACCCACATCCTCAGCTCATCATGCAAGCAGGGGAGAGAAATATGAATCTAGGACAGCTGTTGGTGCATTCAGTATTTCATGAGACAAATCTATTTTAATTACACGTTTTATTTTTTCAGTGAGTTATAATTAATTGACTGATTACTCTCTTGTTCTAAGCACCCTATTCATCATCAATATGAAAGGTGCTTGGTAACCCCTAAAGATAGAACAACTTGTTCATTTCAAGGCTATACAGTTTCTCATGTGAGTTATGCACAGTAGAATAGTTCAGAATGTCATAACTCATTGTACAACTCAAAGTGCTACTCTACAGCAAAAGAAAAACAGTCACCATATTCAGCTGCACACACGACTATTTAAGAAAATACACCATAAAAAAGGCTATCTGCGCTTGATGTAATATAAGAAGAAAAATGTGCTCAGAACAATAACTGCTAAAAGTGTTGGTTTGTCTTTAAGAGCCAGAATGTAGCAGTTTCTATACTCAGCGGTCCTATTCACTACAAGGGTTATGACATAAAACCCTCTTAGAAGAAGAGAGAAAGAAATACTACGGGATCACACCAAACCTTTGTCAGTCTCAAGGGGGATGATGGAGTTACAGGCTGCTGTGTTTGCTTTACAAAAACAATTTTCTCAACATGTGCCGTGGTGTGACGGTGATGTCAGCGCTGTTGGTATTTATGATCTCCAGCTCCCTCATGCTGATTTATGTTACAGATGGTTACGCCTGATTATAATGTTTCGTTAATATGCATGTATGAAACGTTTTGGGTTTCAGTTGAAAAAAAGAAAGGTGTTGTGGTTATTTTTAAGCTGGAGATTCTGACGTTTTTGAATAGTTTAAACATTGGAGAAATGAGAAAAACTGGGAGAGAATGGTTGACGGCCATGTGACGCTAATAATACACAATTTTCCCCCTGAGTTGCTGAGTTTGTGTTTTTTTTTGTGTGAGAGATACAAACACTGCATAATATAATGGAAATAACACAATAGGAAACTAGCTGCAACAAATTACAAAAGAAGAAACAAAAATCTCCTTATTGACTTTGTCACTGTAACTGTGCAGTAACTGAAAAAAATAAGTTTAAGTTTATAAAGTTTCTCCAGGCATTTCTGACATATTGTGTTCAGCACAAGAAGGGAGGGACATGAGGTCGCAGGGACCTTGGACCTCCAAATTCTATTCAATATTATTATTAATATCTTAATATTATTAAATCTATGTAGGTCAATTCTTGAATCGAATTTAACATTTGTACCAGATTTTTTTATATATTTAGTCCCTGCAGCGGTTGCTAAGCAATATCATTCATAAGAACTAAAAGGGAGTAGAAACCATTTTATTCCAGCACAATATGAGACCAAGGTGACACCACAATATTATGATGACCACTTGACCCATTTTGTGTGGGAACGATGTGACCTTGACCTTTAACTAGAGATAATCAGTCCAAGCTGAGGTGTGTGCTGAATTTGAAGAAAAATCCTATGATAGCATGTTCATAAGAAAAGAGTGGATGGACCAGTGTTGGGCCCGCAGGCTTAGGACAGTCAAACAATGGACTTGTGTCAACCTATATAGCTAGTCAATTAGCATTAGTGATAAGAAGTTAGAAGAGCTAGTTGATCTTGTCAACCACAGAGCCAGGCTCACCCCTAATAAAGACAGAATGTATGCAGAAGACATACATCAACCATGGGCCAAAGCTCACTATGGATCAGATGATCCACCCCTTCAAGACGTAGTTGCTAATCTTATCCATCTCCCTATAGAGCAGCTCGACAGCCTGAACTCCTACACCCTCAGCACATGTGAAGAGAAACTAAAGGGCTTGGTTGAATATGCAAATCAACCAACTGGGAAGCCAACACGTACAGTTTCAGATGTTCTAGGCAAAATTCTCCTCCTTTATCAGCGCAAATCAAATGTGCAGAATGAGATACACCGGGAACAGCTAGCCCGGGTACTAGAAGAAGGACAGATCCTGTGGGACGACTTCGAAAGAATGCAGGATAAACTAAAGACCTTGCAGGAAAATTGCAAGGCCCTGCAGGAGGAGAATAAAACACTGCATGAAAGCAGCAAACTGGCCGAACAGAAGAAACGAAGTGACACGGTACCCAGATTTCAGGATAGGCAGATAAGTACTGCAGCCCCCAAATCAGCTGAGGAAACCTCAGACGAAGGATGGGAGACTGAAACAAGCCCCTGGAGGAGGGAGACAGACATGTTGCAGGATCTGGAGGAGAGGGGAAGGCACCGCCGGGTCGACCCAGGCACAAAAGCGCCTCAAAGCGCACAAAATGTCCTCAGACCACCCGGTAAAGAGCTGGATGATTAAAGATGAAGGGCCCCCGCGTTCCGCAATACGCTTTGAGCGAAGAGAACCCTCACCCCGCAGGAGGAGAGGCTTTACTCCCCCTAGAGACAGGGAGGAGACACGGGCCCAATTGGGCACCGAACGCTACCTGTCCCACGATAGACGGCCACGTCTGAGCCGAACACAAACTCCGCCACGGTTACAACCCTACTACTGTGACAACCACAGGGCTTACGATTCGTCAGACGAATCGGACGACCCTTGCCAGCCTTCGGGTCAGGGCCTGCGAACCAGGCAGATAGAACCTCAGGCCAAAGATCTGAAGCGTTTTGACCCAGATAGCCCAGATTCAAGTATTAATGACTACTTAGAGAAGTTGACCATTGTCTCCTTGACCTGCCTCATGCGTCCTCACATGAAAAACTGAAACGGATCTGGAAGACTACGGCTAGGAGTGTCCGTGATTTCATGGGGACACTCCCACCAAAGGTCCGATCCTTGCAGAAAGGAAACAAATCTGTTAGTCAGCACTTACAAACTGCCAAGCAGAAAGTGTTGGACATGTTTGAATTAATTCAGGGAGCACAGGTAAGCATGGAGCAAGACATATCGTCAGGATATGACTCTGATCCTGGACCAAGCCCCTTAAGAGATCAAACAACCCTGCTGAAAAAGCTCAGTAAAGAACCGAGCAGCCAGGATAACCCAAGGACTGTGGAAATAAGTCTAGTTTTCCCTGATTTTGACTGTGGAGCCCCGCTCCTTGGGGAAACGCCCCAGTTCTCTGACAACTGTGACACCCTTTCACACCTTCACAGGTTTGAATCACCACATAGGAAGGGGGGTGACTTCTCAGCCCCCAGAGGCAGAGATAACACCAGGCCCCCTCCTGCTACCTGTAGGTTCCCATTGCAGGATTCACGGCTGAGGAATATCCAAACCTCAGATGACTTGGATGGCTCCCTTCTACCCAGAGATCAAAGAATGTGCATAAGGCTCATTGAATCTATGGCAAAGGATGTAGAGCGGTTTGATCCAGATAACTCAGACCTCTGCATCGATGATTACCTCGGAGCGATTAACCTGTGTCTCAGTGAGGTACCTGATGCATCCACAAGAGAAAAACTCAGGCTGATCTGGAAGACAACTTCCAAGAGTGTCCATAACTTCACGACTACCCTTCACCCTGAGATCAGATACCAGTACTCTGCGCTCTGCAATGCTTTGCGCCAGGAATACTCCACCTACATTGACCCTGCATCTGCCCTTCTTAGTGCTTTCAGTGTCTTGCACCAGAAGCACGAGGCCCCCAAAGATTATTACTGGCGACTAAGATCTGCATATTTCCAGGGACGTGAGGCTCCAGGTTTGGAAGAGAACCCAACTTTCAAGTCCATCTTCATGCACAATCTGCATGGCTGCGTGCGTTCAGATGTCACCCTGCATAGTCGTACACATCAGCTTAGTATGAAAGGGATCAAGAGATTCGCACAGGCGGTTTGGCAGACATGCTTACGTCACGTGTCACGTGAGGGCAACAAGTTGCCTCGTGCTAGGAATAAGAGACCATATCACCGGCAGAATAGAGAACAGAGCCAGGGGGGTGAAGGTGGGACTCAACCACAGAGTAGGTTCCAGCCTGGAGAACTGATCACTACCAGATCCGAAAGGAACTCTCGGGATGGCCGTAGCCTGAGACAGAAGGGTAGGTATAACCGGAGTTCCTACGAGCTCCCTAAGGAAGCAAGTTCTGACAGTTCTGCCAGGGAGTTGGAGCGCATGAAAGATGTGGTATGTCAGGGGGTCTCCCTCGCTTACAGAGAACCCGATTCTGACTCCACATAGGAGTGGGGGTGTAGCCTCCATTCTGGAAACACAACAATGTCACTCTACCGACATGAATGTTTCCTAGTCCCTGTTTTGTGTTTTGACATTGGTAGGGAGACACATAATGTACATGTTCATTTACACACCTACATGCCACAAACACCTTCCCACAGGCTTACTCCTGCCCAGGCTAGGAGTTAGCCCACAAATCTACACCTGATACTCTTCTCTTTCTCTCCTCCTCTTGTCTGTTTGTTTCATTTGTTTTGTTAAAGAATGCACCTCGAGTAGCAAAGCTTTGCTAATGCCTGGTTAAGTTTTATGCCTAGCTTTAGACATAGTTAGACAGTCTGCCCAGACTTTGCCTCAGTGTCTGCCCAGACCGAATGCCTCTCAAAATGTACGGACTTTTTACTCACTAACTATTTGAACATTTGTCTCCTAACACATGGACTGTTGGCCCTATTTGCCCTAAAGACCGCGACCCACAATCCCATTCTTCAGGACAAAGGGGGGATGTTGGGCCACGCAGGCTTAGGACAGTCAAACAATGGACTTGGGCCTGCACCTCTGTAAAAGCCTCATTTGAGTTATTCACTGAGATCACAAAGAGGCCTAAAAGGACTCTTAATCCCAGAATCCCCTGCGGTACTTCACACCTACGTGTGAAAAAACTCCAAAACTCCAAGACTTCCATTGTTCTTCCTCTTTCCACGCGCTGACTTCTAGTGCTCGGAGACCCAAGCTCATCTCCTGTTTCTGCAACAATCTTCCTTTGTTTTAAGTTTTTTTGGCGCGCAGGTAATCCGCGGCCAGCAGTGTTCTAAATTCAGAGCTCGGATTGTCCAGTGAATGCATCTCAGTTTCTCAGAGAGCGTCAGACTATAACAGATTATCAGAAAGATAACGGTCTTATTCCGTCCTGCAACGAAAGGACATCAAAGGACATCTTTCCACTCGACGGAGAACCAACGAAGCCGCTCTCGCCGTAAGGGACCCTCGCCGCCATCAGACGCCTCTGCACCAGGACGGACAGAAGATTTGCTCCATTGCCGGACTCTTTTCCTTTCACCAATCGCGGACAAAGCGATTCATAAGTGAGGCTTAATTAGGTCTGGGCAGAATTAGCTTTAGAGAGTGTTTTTAACAATTGTTGATCGAAGCAGAAACTGTAATTTTTATCTTTGTTGGACCGCTGCGTCCTGAGTTTTAACTGTTTAAAACTCTTGTTGTTGTTTCAGACCGCTGCGTCCTATATGTGTTTAGCGTAACAGCGTTATAACCGGGTATTACTCTTCTGATCAGAAAGGCCAGTGTAAGCCGTATTAACTTGAATTCAGCTATTAGTTTGTTTCTGTGAATGAAGGGAATTACTCGGAGTTGTGGCGCGGGAGTCGGACTGTGATCCGGCCTCTTCAGGCACGCATTTCTCTTTTATTCTCTTTTATCCTCTTTTATTTCCCCTTCTACGAACATACACACACACATATTCCCGTGTAAACGTACATCTGGAAACCAACTCCACCACCGCGCCATTACGCACAGAGATCTATACACTCGCGGCTATCCAGACGCCTCAGAGACACAGATCGTGTAGGGCCGAACTCGGTCTCTTTAAGGCCACATTTAGGTTTCTGTTAGGTGTGCGCCATCGGAAGGGCGACCACGTGGGACGAAGTAATCTTCCCCCCCTTTTCTCTCCCTTTCATCCACACACGCACGCACGCACCCAGGTCTTTGTTAGGTTTGCGCCATCGTGAACGAAGCCATCTCTCCCCCTTTCTTCTTCCCCCTCTCTCTCTCTCTCTCTTTTATAATTTAAGAGAGCAGTTGTTTGTGATTACTGGTGTATTTGCATTGTGATATAAGCTGGGTGCGAAGGCTTTGTGTACGGATTTCACGCCTTCAATTTATTAAATATAGTTATTCATTATTAATAATATTAGTAATTAAATAACTAATTTGAGACTGATTTGAGTGATATTTTGGTTATATTTACCTGATTACAGGTTGGTGCCCCAAAATGAGATTAAACATAGTTTAATGATATTTTATTTATATTATTAATAATTAAGTATAATTATTAAAGAATATAACCAAAGTTGACTTGATACAACCCCAACACCAGTGTTATATTAAAGGTGCATTACACACCACAGCAGACAAGCACAGCACTTTTTGAAGTTTACTTTATACTCACCAGGAAAGCTACATAACAAGTCTATGCTGCAGAAATCTGGGTTTCCTCTTATCTCTATCTAGTTGTGGATGTAAGCTTCTACAAGCATCCGTCATAATTGGTGAGTGCATTTCTCCTCTGAATGGAATGCTTTCTGGCAAGTTTTGCAATTTGCAATTAAAACTAATTAGACACTGTTTTGAGTTTATGTTGGAGCGAACATTAACCTGAATGCAGCCTCACATTAACACAAAGTGACCACATTGCCATCCTGTCATTACTCCCGCTGTCATCATCTCGACGTTTCATTAAACATGAGTAAAGTTCACTCACACTGTGCATTACAGAGAAGACGTGTATAAAAATGTGTAGTGCATGCACAAAGGGATTGTAATTGCTGAGTGAAAATGGTGCAATAGATGCCTAAAAGGCTGTAATATCAAGTGTGACAGCTTAATCTGGGTATGAATCCACAAAGGCTTTGACTCTTAATTGCTGTGAAGGGAGGAACTGTATGTGTGTCACTGAGCATGTAAATGATGATTATATTACCCTCACCTTTTCATGGCTGTGGTTGTAATGGTAGAGGAATTTCGCACATTCGTTATAATTGGCCCACGTCTTGTTGGTCGTAGCCTGCTCCCACGTTCCATTGTTGTCACACCGACGGTATGCGAGTCCTTCAGACCCAACAGAGAAGTCTAGTTTTAATTACATATTCCGCAAGTTGTTATTCAACACAGTCAATTTCTCATCCTCAGCTATAGCTTCTTAAGCAAATCAAACACTGCAAAAGAGGTTTCAGTGATGAGTGTAAGCTGTTAGAGGCCTGTCGCTGAGCTTTGACTTTATCCGCCGTTCAGTCCTACCTTTGTGGTTGAAGTCATAGATATACTCTGGACACGCAGTGGATACAAGTTTTCCTGGAGCTCCTTCGGGCCAACAAACAATCCCGTCCCATTCTGGTGAGCAGGAACCATCTGTGGAGACAAGAGCAGCGCTGACTTTTAAAGATGGAGCTCCTCTCTTGGTTCAAGCATTACATGGCTACAGGCTTCTGCAGTAGAAGAGTGCTGTATGGTTTCTGTTGTCCTTTAAGATGCAGGCCAGATAAATGAACCTTATATTGTATATGAAAGAGCACTGCAGAGCAGGGTTGTAGAATGTGCTGAGTCTGAAATAAGTACTGTTTTTTTTATTTAACATGGGTCACACAGAGAACAAATCCCTGATCTATTGTTTAATAATTAAGACTTGCAAACATGGAGTTCCCAGCATGCTGAAAACAAGTAGTCCATTGAATCATGTATTCATTAAGGACTTGTTTGTTAGCTGCAGCAGATTGAAAAAAAAAAGAAACTACCACATTGTTAATGGCATCATACTGTTTTTATCTTGTACTGAATTGGTTGCAGTATGGATTTCATTTAAAAGATTCCCTGCAACAAAGACTGCATTGTGGGGTTGTATGAAGCCCATTTTATGTAAGCTAGGTTTCATAGCTATGTGTGCTCTCTATTGATTATCTGTTTTTTATTTTTTTCAAACCAAGACTTAAAAACAAGCAAAATACGCAACTACAGTCATTAAAAAAATGCACAGAATAACTATAAATTGCCTCCCAATTTAAGTTCAGTTTAATGCTGGAAAACAAACAGACAACAAATCTGCTGTTTAGCTGGACAATAACAGCTTTGCAGATTTTGCATGGATTAATAACATGTCACCTTTAATTAGATATAAAAATGTTTCTAATTGTTTAACACTGTCAGTTTATTGGTTCATGGTCTGATATACAGTATACAGCCCACAACTGTTTTTTTAAATTATTATTATTATGGATTCCTGGTATTCTAGAGGTAACCTCTTAAAGTGGCAGTACGCAACATGAATGTTTCAGCCTCTCCTTCTGCTACCTTGTATCTCTCCACTAAGCAACAAATAACACACAAAACATGCATGCCAACTGTTGTTACTTTACGTGTCTGTTCCTTTCAGCTATTTATGTCCCACATAGAGGATAGAAATACAGACAGGCAATCAATAATATTACATCCAAAAAAGTGAAAAAGTCGCAACTGGTGTGCAGCTCTCAGCACAAGAGAGAGGGGGAGGGAGAGAGAGAGAGAGAGAAAGAGAGAGAGAGAGAAACCTGATTGGATGTTTGATTCAGACTGGATTTTTATTTTCAAAGTAAACAAAAAGGGGGAGGATGCTCGCAGACATAGATCAGCCCGTTATTAAAAGGAACATTTCAATATAATATTGTTGGTGAGATTCAATAACCAATGACTTTTTTATTTCAACTAAAAATTTTATTGAATTTTTTGCTTCTGTAGCTTTTAAATGTGCTTGTTAGGAACAATAGTAACAATAGTAACAGGAGCGCTCGCTGTGGGCAGCCCCCTCGCTCTGACATCTCTCCATTAGTGCATGTCCCACGTGGGATTAATAAAGTATATCTTCTAATAAGTGTCTGTTAGAATGTCTCCTCTTTTGTCACATTTGTATTTCACTATTAAACATTTACCAGGGAAAACATTTCAGACCTAGTGTGACATCCTTAAATAACACTTTACACCTGAATGTTTCGATTACAGAGTAGGCTGTTCAAATGAAACTCATTTCAGCCTAACTTAAAACATTTTTGTGGTGAATCATAAAAACAAGTCATGCAATCATTAAAACAACATTATTTTTTTCCCCCCTAAACTTTTAAGGATCCCAACAAAATTGCTGACGGTGTGCTTTTCTCGAAGATCACTGAAACTATTTTTAGTGCAGAAAGTAAAAGGATCTGTAAATAATACATCTAAACGTGGTGCAGATAAAGAGCTGGAGATTTAAAAGGGTGGAAAATGGCCATTTGTAAGAATAGAGCCCCTTAATTGTAAGCTCTCTGATAGTGGAAGCAAAGTCTGTTTCCCCGCAGATTCCTGGCAAACGCCACCTTCATGGTTTGGCATTTTATGTTGTATTATTGAAACCATCTGCCCCACTGTGACCACTAATAAGTAGCTACGGATAAAACTAAAACTATCCCCTCTTTGCAGTAGATCCATTATTTTCCCATTCCTGTAATCAAACTTGCAAAAAAAAAACAGGCAAATAAAAAGCATGTCGTCATTGCTTCACATGTCACTTGGAGCGAGAAATTAAAGAGTAGACAGCGCAGAGCTGACAGAGTCTGACAGATCTTTGGTGGGAGAAAAAAAGAGCGTTTAGTTTTCGAAAATCACACTGACCACACATCCTGAGAGTAAAAGTAGAATTGCTTTAGGTTTTGTTACCATAGGACCACCTACTAACAGGCTCAAATTAAACCCTGCACACACACACATATCATTTCCGAATGTTTCTTGACCATGTTTAAATATAAACGTGACTACGCAGGGAGTTTGGTATTAGTGATGTCAATGGGGTTTTTAATAAGGTTTTCTTCCCCCCCCACCTCATTTGATTTTGACCTGCAGATGTCAAAACACAGACTGCATTTTCTCATGATATATGCAGCCTTTTTATAATGATTGCTGATGTTGTTCCTTGCCCAGACCACAAGCTTGAAGGCTGAGCTATTTTCACACTGCAAGGTCCGGGGCATTGCTCCCACATCCCTCCACTGTCCTCTGTAGGCAAACCTCAGTGTTTTCCTACAAGAAAAACCTTGTTTTAGCCTCGTAATGGAGACTTTTGTGTATTTAAAGCACAAAGGAGAAATAAAAACAAGCAGATTACATGTTGAAATACAACCAAAGATCAAGGTTTTAGGCTCACACGGGACTTGATCCTTTCTTAGTGAACCTGTAATTACAGGATCGACTCATTACACAATCCCCCATTTCAGACTGGTGTTTTAAAATAGTCACACTCCACATTTCCTATAATATAAAAAGAAAAGCTGAAACGAACAATATGAACCTGACTTAAAAATTATACCTTAGCAGCTATTTTCTGAGGTCAGACAACAGTACAAGAAGAAAAAAAAAAAAGGGTGAATTCAGTCCAAATAAGACCGACCACTTCAAGGAAAAAAACACTTTCACGGGTCATCAGAGAACACAATAAATGTTTCCTCCAACTTTATTTCAAATCTTGACATTCTCCTCAATCTAACTCAGAATCAGGCAAACCACGTCCCAGATTCTGATCTCTACTTAACATAATTACTAACGAACAGCCAGATGAGACACTATAGTTCAAATCAAGTTCAAGTGAAGTGAAGTCAAAGCCATTCATGTGCCATTAAGTAAGAAACATTTCAGCTCAAGCATGCTAAATGAGTGCATCATGTGCTTATTTAGTCACAGAGTACAATATGTTTACCTTTAATGCTGGTAAACTGTTGATGGTGATTAGAACGAGCATTAAATGCAATCTTCTAAAAGAGGTCAGGAAAGAGCCATGAGATAATTAATGAGTCTCATCCAGTGTCTGTCCACATCATCAGGTAAGCAGGTCAGCTCTCGTGGGCTGAGAAATCCTCAGAACAGCAGCTCAGGCCGCTCACAGAGTATCAGTCAGACGTTCCTGATGGGCTCGTTAGAGTCCAGGTTCAGTTTTAATATCCTCCCTGATGTCCAGACAGAGCACCGTGCCAGTGAAAGATTCAACAGCTATTGTATGTGTATATATTGTTGTTCACCCAAAGGCCCAACTAGAGACAAGAGTTGGAAATTAGCAATAGCTACATACTCTTGAAGCACATCAGTTTCATGGTGGCCCAGTGGTTAGTGTATTTTCACATTTAGCATTCAGACATTAGAGGGGGGTGTCAATTGTCTAACGCTCTGAAAGAAAACAATTATGCCCATTCCTTGTGTAAATGAGAAGATGAAGTGACTTTGCTGGGAGGTAGAGGGTGAAATGAGACACCAGGCTGGCCAGTCACCACCACATGTCAGGATGAATTAAGGCTGATGGAGGTCAGAGGAACAGCCAACTCTTATCTGAAAGGGGCATAATGTTTGACCTGCTGCTCTGCATTAGCATCTGTGATAACATCCTGTTAAGTAGACTTTGAGAAAAAAACACAGTGCTGTTATATAAAGCCTGGACATCTTACACAAGATGCTGTTCGGCGCCTACAGTTCTCAAAAACAGCAATACTGTCAGATTTTTGAACATGTAATTTCACATTTGTGGACATTTATCCAAAACCATGAAAAATTGGGAAATACCCAATGTAACTAGTGGTAACGGTCAACAAAAGCTTTTGTGTTCTTAGCCGGGAAGTAAACATTTTTAATGATGTGTTTCATTTACAAGGGGGTATCGTTTGGAGGGTCTAAGAATCCCATGTGACCACAATGCACTGGGGTTAAAGAGTAAATAATACGATTGGTTTGGCTGTGGAATTCAAAATCTTTCTCTGAACAATCAACTGGGAAAAAGGCAGAAACCACAGCGGGATATAGTAGAAGCTGGGGTCGAATGGAAAATGAACACCCATAAATACAAAATTTCACCCCCGGATCAGCCTCATGTTCAATCCCAGCCTTTGGGGAACCCACAGGGAGGACTAAGGAAACAAAAGAAAAATGTGACAACGTAGCTTCAAAAAGCTTCTTTCAATGAAAAGGGGGATATGAGATGAACGTATCAGCAAAAAGATAGGAATATTTTTTTTACTTTTTAAAAAAAGCATCAAGGAAGTTGTTACGGAGCTCTGAAATTGGCACAATAATCAGCTGATTAGCTCCTGTAATCAACAATCACATTCAAAGAAATCCCCAATCACGTTCAATCAGGACAAGAGGGCAGGTTCTACAGTCTGACGCACGATCACTTTCACTTTCGCACTGCTCTGCTGCTGGTTTATGCTTCACTCCCACAGCTCCTGGTTAATTTTACTATGAGTGCCAATTGATGTCTCCCTTCTCCTACATCTTATTGCCATCCCCTTGCCTTGTACACGTATTTGAAATCTGTATCCGTAAGGTTAACCTCTGTCTGAATTTGACCATCGACTGTGACATCACTTACATGTCATACTGCTTAAAGGAGCTAACAACCAACCAGAATTACTCAGCTCCGAAGTGATTACAATGGTGTGATATTTTCAAATCATGTTGTTATTTTTTTTTTTTGCCATGTTAGCGGCTAGCTGGAGTGAGTGGCCCATGTCATTGAATAATTTGCCATGATATTTTAGGCCTTGGGTGGACATCCGACTTTCTTCCAGTGACATTCTCAGGTTGAGGTTTCTTTTTAACTAATGTCTCAACAACTGTTAACTGGATTGTTGTGAAAGACCTCCTCCTGTGATATCTAATGTTTTACTTCAGCAACATCTTCAGTACAAAGTCAAATTTGTCAAATACTTAAGTTTATGACCAAATACTTAAAATGAAAATGTCATTCCTATCAGCCTCTGTGTAAGTGTTAAGCACTTCTTAGCATGATAGCATGCTATAATTCACAACTTAGAGAATGAATATGGCAACAACTTGTCCTAAATCCACATATTAGTACTGTCATTTTTAAAATGTTAGCATCGTTTAATCAGAGTTAAACTTATAGCACTGATGTTTGTCTTACGAACAGCAATATATTCACGTCTTAGAACTCCGATTTTTTACTCACCATGTATTAAGTGCTTGGATTTGATGTTTTCCTCACACTTCTGTTTGGCTCTGAACAACAGGCCAATCTGTTCCTCTTTCGTCAGAACATCATCTGCATTGACCTGAGGAAAGACAAAAAATGACACAGTGTTATCTTCCAATATTCCAATATTATTTAAAGGAGCAATGCGTATGCCTGACACGTAGCGTCTAATATGGGTAGCAGTCCAAATTCAATAAATTGGAGCTGTCTCTCCCCGCCCCCTTCTCCCTAGAGCCGATGCACACACAGGTTGCCATGTCGCGGACACAGAAGCTTCAGTGTTTAGCCAGCTCTTTATCGGTCTATTATTGATCAACTATTTATCAGTTCACCTAACCCTAACCCTCCAAATATTATCTATATAGAATTAACAAAGTTTAGCCTAATATTGACCCAAGTTCTAGTTAATTAGATGATGTATATGCTTTCAACTTAAAGCATATACAAAACCCTTTCACAATAGTTCAGTGATGGGTTAACAATCCAGACAATGTCCTCTTCACAGCTGCCCCACAAACCACTGACCATCATAGTCCTACCAACAGCATCTTCTAAATCCAGTTTCCTCTGGTGAAATAATCCTCATCATTTTCACCACAGTTATTTTCTCAGAAGGAATAAGAGTGGAAGGAACAGGGTGGTCTTGGATGTAAGACATCCTGCTCTTTATCTTGAAGGTCAGATTAGGAAGTGCTTTGACCACAACAGTGTTCATGAGCACAGTGGTACACCGTCTTTATTATGGTCTTAGCTCTTTTTTTTTTAGAGCTAAAAGGTTATAAAAGACCTTGTTTTTCCTTCACCTGTCAGCATCAGTTTCACATGTAGTTAAAAGACGCTGCTTTTATTCCCGTGGTTATATTCACTATGTGCTCTCAAGCACATTTTTTCTCAGCTTTTGTGAGCTTTTGTGAGTGGCGTGGTACCTCAGGTGGGGTTTTCCAGTCAAGGATATATTTTCCGGTTTAATAAGCCACACTGACTTACTTACTGTTTGTCCATGGATCAGTAATGGGCAATAACGTATGTGACTATAAATGTATAGAATAAATAATAACCTCTGTTTTTTTAACTTAGTGTGACAAGAAAAGTGGAAAAGAAAACCTAAAAAGTCATGCCAAGTGCTGCATTTCAAATTAAGATCATCGCACGAACAAACAGGATTTTCTATATCTGTCATATAGAGGTATTAATTCATGGTGTGTGCAGCAGAATGCCATGTGTCCACACAATGACACACAAACCAACATGTGACAGACAGTGTTCTTCAAGGTAGGGCTTAAAACACTCAACATGTCTTCTTGCTTCAGTGACGCAGAGCAAACAGTACAGATTAAAAACAGACGTTTTGCTCAGTCGGCTGCAGTTGTGTTTGCCCATTTCCAACATAAATTACATGTGTGGATGAAATAAATCAAATTCTGCTTAGACAAAGGGTACAGAGATTAAAGCAGTGGGGGAAATTCATTTTAACAAAGCGGCAGTTGAATCACAAAGATCGGAGAAAAGAGAAATTGAAAGAGACAGAGAGTGAACAGGTTATATTGCGCACGCCTATGCAATTACACTGCTTGAAATGTATTCCGTCCATTTTCAGCTGGGGATTGCGTCTCAAATTTTCAAAATAAAAGTCCAGATTTGACTGTAGCCTCTGTTTGAGTTCATAAAATCAAAGGCAGAGATGGAGATCTTCAGAGAAGATTAAATTATCCTCTATTTGCCCCACAGTGTAGAAATGTGCTGTGAGACATCAAAAGAGGGTGGCTTAACAGCAGAACAATGTAGATGTAAAAATAATTTTAAAAACAACAAGTTAGCCAAGATCTAATAAGCAGAAATAAGTTAATTAAGTATCTGAGAGAGACTGAAACTGAAAAAAAAAACATTTAACTGCAGATTATTACACAAGTATGTTTCTGTTTGGCATTGATGATGATCATAAAATTGAAAGTGGGCTTTGAGATATTAGCTGTGGCTTTCTGTAAAGAGACCTTGAACTACACTGATCTTACTTCATCTTTTGAGGGCTGTATAAAGACTTTTTTTTCTAACAAACTCTTTTACAAATAATAGTCCTGCATTCAAAACATGAGAGACAGGACCCTGTTGGAGTGAGATTTTTTAATCATGTTTCATGTGTACGCAGCATTTAAAGGTTGAAGCTGGTCAAGGGAGAGCTCATTTGAACTACTTTACAAATTGGCAGTCTGAGGTATAAAATGCATTAAATGCTTTAAAGTGACTTAATGTTTTTTTATGTAAAGTCAACTCAAAGAAATGCAAAAGCCTTTAAACTATGTCTCGCAGTCATGAAGACATTTAAAGTATTAGATAAAATAAATATGAAGTTAAGTAAAAAACTATAAGCAGAGCCATGTTCCTACATATTTCCCTAGTATTAAACCTTCTGTCTGGTTCCTATTTACTAGCAGTTAAAAAATCTCAAAAATCTGTATGCTGAGACAAGGAGGGAAAGCAGGCACGTTGTGTACATTGTCTCTGATGCCAGTGTGTAATTTTGCTCATTTAACTTTAAACTGCAAATACCCAAACTGTCGTGTTGGTTCTAAATTGAAAACCATAATACCACAATCCATCAATATTTTCACTCCTTTCAGGCCTGAAATAAGGATGTCCAGTTTGAGGCTGAATAAGGTTACAGAATGAAGACGTTTATGGCTTTGCACAGCAAATAACCACGGATGGAACAACATCGGACCGCAGGGGAACAAGGATAGATACTACCTGTTTACTCTACCAACTACGCCAATTTAGAATATTCCACTGAACACTCCTGAGGTGTCCGCGCTATTTTCATCTGAATGACTGGCTGGTGTTACTTTAGGTGAACGCTGCAGGAAGCCAGAGACACTGAATCTCGATGGAAACGGCCCAGAACATAATATCATTATCATCCCTGTTTGGTACTGTAATGTATCATCAACTCTTCAGTTCCACAGTTTGAATAATAGAACTAACAAGCTCTTAATGAATGTTATTGTTTTTTTTCCTTTAATATACATCCTTTTTCTATACCGCCTTCGGTGTGGAATCTTGTGTAAACTGGCATAATAAACACTTCAAAGTTGTGTGAACTGTCAGCAAGTTTACTGAACTTTTAAATCACACAAACTTTCTCAGTTAAGCCAACACATTAAGAAACAAACATCTTAACCTTTGAAAGCCATTTTGAGCTCCTGGGAAACATTAAACTTAAATAAGAAATAGAGTTTTGGGGTAACGTCTCTTTCATGTGCACACTCGCTGCTCGCCGAGATGCAGCCATGAGTATCATTTACCATTTCAAGAAGAGAACCCTGGGTAATAAGTGTGCCCCCTGATTATTCCTGAAAAACTATTCCTCCTCCGCTGGCCCGACTCCAAACCTCCAATGTAAACACGACTCTCACAGGGAGAAACATGGACATTCTTATTTACTGCACTTCATTCAAAACACAGTAATCTTTTTGTTGAATGCTTTCGAGTGTGTGCCAAAATGAAAATTAGAAAAATACACAGCGTATAAATGCGTGTGTTTTCATCACTGGTGCCTAGAATACGAACTCCACTTGAATAAACCACAAGTTTGTATTTGTCTCTGCAAACTGCGGCTGGATGGATTCAACTGCTGCTCGCTGCAAGGATATAAGACCAATATTGAGAGAACTGTATTTAGGAGTTAAACCACTGCGACTAAACACTACCACTATACAGTTTGAGAGTGAAGGTACACTTACAGTTTAGTTTTAGTTGTCTTATTTCAACATTTGGTGTATGGATTATTTTAGTAACTTCATCCCCAGTTAAGTTTAGATATAAAAGTTTGGCTTGTTTGTTACCACAAATGAATATATACACTGTTCAAATGTTGATTTCTGAATATTTTTAACCAAAGGGAAAATGAAAAGTTACAAATAATATTAATAGGGGTGCTGGTTTAGCTCAAGTGGAAGAGCAGACATCTCATGTACAGAGACCAAAGTCATCATTGCATCGGTCACAGGTTCCACCCCTTAACATGCTTGGTTGGTGCATGTCAGCCCCCACTCTCTCTCCCCATACTTCCTGTCTCTCTTAAAAAAAAAAAAAAAAAAGAAAGAAAGAAAAAATAAATGTTGATAGATGTATTGCATTTATTGAGTGAAGACACTAGATTTCTGCTACGTTACCAACAGTTCTGATCATGGACAGCCTTGCACTTTTTTTTCTTTCTTCAAGAGCGTTGTGGTTAACCAAAGTCATTTCCTGAAATACCCTACAGTGAATAAGAGAGTCAAATACCGGCGCTTGTGAGGTAGACTTTCATTTGAAAGCACAAAACACCCAACAAAAACTGGAGAATCCAAAAAGCTTAAACAAACCACACAAACACCACGAGTCCAATTATCTGTACAAGTCAACAATGGATATCAAGTCAAGTACAGCCCGTTGCTCTCATAAGCACTGACTCAGACCATAAAATACATAAAGGAAAAAGACTGAACAAAAGTCTTATTAAGTAGTGCACAATAACCAAGAGAATTAAACCCATATTCAACCAGAGGGATTTCAGATACTTCCCAGGGTTGTGATCTTTGTTCTGACCGCCCTAAAAGTCAAGGTCAAGAAGAATACTTGTTGAGATTGATGTTTTTCCCCATAAGAAGGCAGAGGTGATCATTTTTGTTTTTGAAAACTGTATACTATATTTTCACGTTTATTAAAAAACTTCCTGATGTAGAAGAATATTTCATGTTATAGTGTCTTAATAGGTTTATGATAGAAAAACACAGCTATTTTTTCAAAGCCAACCAAGGGATTGAATTGCCATAATGCTGTAGGTTAACAGAGTTTACTGGTGTCTATGAGTGTGGGATCTTTATAAAATGAACCATAAAATTAGTTCAAAATAAGCTCTAAACTGTGGTTGTTCAAGGGAATATCCTTCAGTGCTTCAAACAAAGATATGAATCCAACTGAAACCTGTTTGACCAGCAGTACCAGACCAGTAAAAGACCAGTTAACCACATACATCTTTAAGAAAATCAACCACAGTCTATTTAAAGTGATGGATGGCGTAGACTGACTGGGGTGTTTTAT